GTATTAACCATCGCCCCCATTATCCATAACGTTTCCCAGTGGATTGATAGTGGTAACGTCTTCATTGAAGATATTTGATTTAATAAATAGTTTCTTGTTTTTGCTGTATTCTGATTTTATTTCTTTCCCCGCAAATGTGATGAAAATCATTATGAAGAGAAACGGGATGGCAGACTCGAGCCAATGAACTTAACAAAATTACATTTGTAAGTACTCGATCGTAATTCTTTTTTAACGGCCCGTACATATACATTGTGCAATGTACTATTTTTTCTTGATATATTTTTTACTAAACACAATTACAACCGTATGCAATTATAGGTACGCATTCTCAAAGTACGCACTTTTAGGGGCCGTATAAGAAAATACAAACAAAAGCCATTATTTTGTAACTTTACGCAAAAAATATTGATAAAATATACTACGTGAAAACTAGGGGGGGGGGGGGGTCTGGGCATATACTACGCTTGGTCACCGAGGGGGGGGAGGGGGTCAAAAAACACGAAAAAAAGGGTCACGTAGTTTGGGTATGTTCCCATAGTATGCTGTAAGCGCTCGTAAGCAGCGCGGTCTACTTAAAGGCTTCTCCGTTTCGCACCCATGAGACTTGCGAGAGGTTGGTAGGTGTGAGGTCCGTTCGTTAGTGTGCCCCTTAAGGGCGCTAACGTCTGTAAACAGAGGTTTAGCCTGCGTAATAAAAAAAGGTGCCAAAACTGTAACAAAAGAACCCTATTACTAAGAACCCGCTGACCGTATATCAGGCCTTGGTCCGCATGTCAACGGATTGTATTTTGACCCGACTACTCTACGCGTAGTTAGAGTATTCTGTTTGTATATATCTAATGCACATTAACATATGTCGTGTTACAGTAAGAAAAAAAGCGGCCAAGTGCGAGTCGGACTCGCCACATGAAGGGTTCCGTAGCAGCAAGTAACATAATATAAAACCTGCCCTTCCGCGCGCTCTGCACCCGCTACCGATCAAGCCTATTATAATTATTATTTACTTAGGCACCTGTTACAGATTTATTATTAGAAAATAATGATTCACGGTTTATGCATAACGTTTATGTTTATGAAATTAAATAGTTTTTTTTTATGATTTGAGTTGATTAAATGAAAGGTAAATAGCGGTTTACGATTTATTACGAACTTTAAAAAAATCTACTTCAATAAAACAAGTTTTTAATGGACGCATAGGAATGCGCTTCGCAGGAGCAAAGGATGCGAAACATCAATAAATTAATACGGTTTTAGATCTTTATTCCCATAAAAAATTACAAAATTCACTTACCATGAGAACATAAAATATTTTAAATATCAACTTGGTTTAATAGGGAGATACATTGAATAATTAATAAATTTAGTACATCTAACCCGTTAAAAACATGTTTTATTTAATGAGTGATGTGTGTGAAAACCTAAGAAACAAATAAAAAACTATTTACTAGATCTCGTTCAAACTATTTTACGGTGGAAGTTTGCATGGTAATGTACATCATATTATATTTTTTTTAGTTTTATCATTCTCTTATTTTAGAATTTACAGGGGAGAGGGACACAAATTTTACCACTTTGGAAATGTCTCTTGCGTAAACTATTCAGTTTAGAAAAAAAAAATATTAAAAACCTCAATATCATTTTTGAAGATCTATCCATAGATACCCTACACATATGGGTATAATGTAAAAAAAAATGAGTTTCAATTCTATGGGGATCCCCAAAATATATTGTTTTTTTTTCTATTTTTGTGTGAGTATCTTAATGTGGTTCACAGAATACATCTACTTACCAAGTTTCAACAGTGTTGACGCATGAGTAAGAAGTTCTGCCTACACCAACGTCGCTCCATTTCTACCAGTAGAAGCAGCTTTGACACACGTGATCAAAAAAACCCCCCTCTTCACTTCACTCTCTACGCAATTCAATTTTTTTACACTCAACTTTCGTTCGCAATTTTCATTTTATTTATTTTATTTTTGTAATTACGAGTATATTCGCAATATACGCATTATTCAAGTAAACAACTGAGCTTTATTGAAGAGTACGCATAACGCCGATACAAACAGTATAGTTCTTATAGTTTCGGAAAAAAGTGGCTGTGACGGACGGAAATGATGAATCTATAAGGGTTTCGTCTTTTGCCATTTGGCTACGGAACCCTAAAAATTGGTCTCCATACATGATGCAACAGGTTTTTCTAAAATGATCATTTCAGCAAATTCCCGTGGCGACACTATGATTTCAACGCAAATATTGCAATCGATATTTACGTCGTACGATGAGTACGGAACCGTTTATGTGCGAGGCCGACTCTAAAAAAGGGATACGACAGCTTTTTTCTATGTCTTATGTATTCTTCTGAATTCATAATTTCGCCCCTTACAACCCTTTTAAATATGCAGGGGGAAGCACTTTGTGACTCAACAAAATGTGTTTACTTATTTTACCTATATATCAACAAAATTGGTTTATCTTTTACGCCTTAGAGCAGGGGTCCCTAAACTTATTTTGTCTACCGCCCACTTTAAGAATAAATAGTTTTTAGTATAGCGCTCATGACACCTACCTACTTAAAATTAAACATACCCATTTTTAACTTTTGAATTAAAGCTTCGTATTGTTTATTTTAACGTAAAATCACAATGTACCTAAAAAATAATATTTGTTAATGCTGCACTGACTTCCTACCTAATAATTCCATGTTTTAAGATCTTTCCTTTTTTTCATATTACATGCAACGATGGAAAAGAATACTTTTTAAACAGCCATGAATATAATAGTTTCAAATTCCATTGTTAAAAATATGTAAGTCTGTAGTTGACTGCTCAAAAATGCTTTTATAGCACAGTGTGATCTAAACCCGCACTTTACGCACGCTTTCCCGTGACCTAAGTTGCCTATTTCTGCACGGTGTGTAAATGAATTGACCAACTTCACTCATGTAGAAAAAAAAACACATTTAAATGTCATTTGGAGCTTAAAAACTCACAGCAAACAAATGACAAATTAGCGATAGGTTAGGAATTCTTGTTTGAATTATACGAGTACAAAAAATAAAGCTCATTCCCGTTGTTTAATATATTGTTATGTCAATCAAGGAATAAACGTTCATGGATACATTGAAATTCTATTTTGTTGTAATGATATTTGATTTTTTCCTTTTGAAATATACTTTCAAAATGGTAATCTGAACCGGAATTCTTTCTTTTCAGAGTTTGACTTGCAGTCTGTATTGCAATTCTTTGTGATTGCACCCCCCCCCCCCCCCCTCTTGCCCGCGTCCGGGGCGGGTTTATGTCACACTTGCTATGAAATAGTATACGATACTTGTGGCCTAAGTTGTCTATTACTGCACGGCGTTTAGCACCCTCGCTCCGCTCGGGCGCTTCACTTCACTTCACGCCGTGCAGTAATAGGCAACTTAGGTCACGCGTATCGTAATGTACTATTCTTCTTTTTGTTTAAATAACTTGCTTTATTATTGAGAAATATTAATTATGACATGTTTTATTGAACGTCATAATAATTCTCTCAGCAGTAGATAAGATAGTATAATTAGGACAACATACTTTCTGTAAATATCAATCCAAAGTAATAATAATTGTAGTGAAATTATTTAAATGTGACCATATGCGTGATTTTACTGTGGTGAGCTTCACCTATATAATGCCGGCACTTCACTTGGCCGTTTGTATTTGCTATTCATAAACTTGACAACAGTCTGTCTTTATCATGCTTTATAAGAAATAAAAATAACAGACCATGAACAAACAGATGTCAAGTTAATAAATACGAAAAGCCAAGTAACGTGCCGGCATAACGGTATACAATAAAACTTAAATATGTGTGCAGTTCGCCAAGTCTTTTATATTTTTTGTTGTATCAGAAATTGAATATTCGTGATCAGTAAAGGATTTCGATGCTTAGTCCATGGTGTCAACTTGACTGGCATAAAGTAATGTGGTGTCAACATTTAAACAGTACGGCTGTATGGACGTTTTGTTCCCTTTGCCTTCACGTATGGAAGGAATGTATCGTTTTATGACAGCTATCAATCATCTGTCATATATTGTGGTTAAATATAACCCTGGCATTGGCAGAATCATCGTGCATAACGATGGAGCCATAATACCCAAAGTGGAAGTGGAAGTGGAACCCCAATTTACTACTTTATGACAGGATTTCTTTTAACTTCTATAGCATAATCTGCCGATATTTTCCCTTCTTAATATATAACGAACTATTTCCCTATCGTTTGGTTCAAACATCGTTTAAGCGCAATCATGGCCTAACTTTCTATGAAAATCTCGCATTCTTCTTTGACATCGTAGTACTAACCTCATTAAAAGGCAATTTCTTCTCTACCTAATTAACGGTTTCGCCTTCTATATAAATACTTTTTATAACGGCCCTTATATCGAATCGATATTATATTTTTAAGCCGGATGGTATAAAGTTGTTTACAGATCCTGCCTCATATACCTATAGTATAAAACTTTAGTAGACAAGCTGTGGTTATGGAAATGCTGGTATAGATATTGGCATTGGTCTAGTCTTGTTTTCTCTGCAACGAAGTAAAAAGACAGGTTGTCCTCCATATATTATGCTTACAACAACAACCATGCAATTTTGTAAGAATAAAATCACTATTCACCGTGGAATACGAAAATTTTGCTGATTCCGCGGTGAAAAGAGGGTTTTTTTGAGCGTGTATGCGTATTGATCGCAGATGACCTTTACAGCGTCACCGGATTTGGGGACGGCGAGATCCTAGGGGGACCTCAAGCCAAGAATTGGCAAGTGCCTCTAGAGGTATTCGAGGCGGATGGCATCCTCCCACGGGGGAAGTCTCCTCTCCGTCTAGAGCCTCTAGACAACTCGAATCTGAGAAAAATGACAGTTTACGAATATATCTTGTAAATTTCTGCGTTGCTCTTTACACAACAAAGTGAATAAGCAGATTTGTTGACCCTAATAAACAAATTTTCTTGTTCCAGGTGATATCACTGTAGGTGGCAATGAGAAAAGAAGAGAACAGATAGAGACTACAAAACAATATCAAAGCCATTAAAAAGATGACAATGGAGAAGCAAGCCGCCCCGCCGCAAATTCGCGATGTCGCCGACTCGTACAGCTCAAAGTTAGTCCACATTTTATTTCTAACACACAATATTAGTCCTAGGAAATTGAAGATGTCAAACACACGATATACTTAGGAACGATTTTTTATGTACCTAAGTGTATCATAGACTGAGAGCCAGTGCTCCGCAGACTTACGGTATAGTAGCAAACTCCTCAATGCTAATTATACTAATTCATCTATCGTAGATCAAATGAAGGTTCAGTATTCCCAGAGAGGGTTCCTTTAGTCGTGTCTAGAAGTCGAAAAGCATGAAAATCGACTTTCAAAACGTGTTCGCAGCATGTCTGCCGTTTTCATATTTTAAAATATATATATTTTATAGAAAAACTTAATGGCAGACACTTGTTTCGGTTCGTATTATACTTTATATAGTATAATAGTTTCCAAATTTTCATCAAATTTGCGTTATTTTAGCAAAGCTAAAAATGATATATGTTATTTATATTATTATTATAAACATATATTTACAAAAACAGACACTTAGGTCGGTTCTGACATGCGGGCAGACCACACGATACTTTCTCAGTCGTGCTATTAAAGTTGCATGATTTTGATTATCTCACACTTCATTTCGCAGGGAACTAGTGTTTCAGCAAAACTGCAATTTATGTATGTTTTTTACATAATTATTATACATGTATATCTAAAATTCAGATAGATAGGTCGGTTCCAAAATGCAGGTAGACTACATAATAGTTTTGCAGTCATGCTAATGGAGATACACGATATTGACTTTCTCACTCTTACTGGCAATGGCAGCGAATCAGTATTAATACATGTGAAAAATGGTACTAAAATTTTTAACTCTTATTTTCAATCATAAACATGTTAGTTTTTATAAGGAAATCAACTTTTTTTTTCACTTACAACCTACTATAGGCAAGTTACTAAAAAAGTTACCTTCCTCATCTGGTTTTCATTTCACCCAAGACGGCCTAATGGAAGGAGTTTCAATATTACTAGTTTTGACAAGCTTTTATCAATAAATATTAAACATTCTACACTAAATTAAACATGCTTTAATTATATTTAATAATATTTTAATATTTTTTGCCATGTACCTTGGAATAAAATAATACTTTTGTGTGCGAAGAACGCTGGAAGAAAGTGGAGGGAGTGTGTTTGCGCATGCGCAAACACACTCCCTCCACTTTCTTCCAGTGATCTTTTTACATGACCTGATCTATAACGAACCATTACAACATTCCAGGTGTATGAGATATTTCTTTTCCTAGGGAGGGTAGACTAATTAAGTAAGGACCAGGTAAAATTCCTATTCAATCGAAAAGAAAGACAACTGTTCTATTTAAAGAAGCTTTAGAATAAATAGTGTATATTCACCTAAACTTGACCATAGTTTTTACATTAGCGTGACAGAGAAAACATTAAATTGTCTACCCGTATGTTAAAATCGACCTATCTGTCTGATTCTTCAAATATATATGCATAATTTATCATAAATAACAAACATAAGTTTCAGTTTTGCTGAAACAAGGCAAATTATTTTTTTCCTAGGGAGGGTAAACTAATGGCGTGAAGGTCAGGTAACATTTCTATTAAATTGCAGAGAAAAACATTTATTTTATTCAAATATAATATTAAATATATATAATAATAGCGTATATTCAACAAACCTTGTCCATCGTTTTTACAACGGTGATTGAATACTGAATCCCTGCGAGATGAAAAGAGAGAAAGTCAACATCGTGTTGACATTTCATCGACATCTCCATTAGCATGAATGCGAAATTGTTATGTAGTCTGCCTGCATTTTAGAACCGACCTATCTGTCTGGTTTTTAGATATACATATAGAATAATAATGTGGTAAAAAACATACAAAAATTGCAATTTTGCTGAAACACAAGTTCCCTGCGAAATGAAGAGTGAAAAAATCAAAATCATGCAACTTCAATAGCACGACTGAGAAAGTATCGTGTGGTCTGCCCGCATGTCAGAACCGACCTATGGATCTGTTTTTGTAAATATATGTTTAAAATAATAAAATAAATAACATACATAATTTTTAGCTTTGCTAAAATAACGCGAATTTTATGAAATTTTGGAAACTGATATTATATAAATTACGGTAGGAACCGGAACCAGTGTCTGCCATTATTTTTTTCTATAAAAAAATATATATTGTTTAGGATATCAAAACGGCAGACATGCTCGATTTTCATGCTTTTCGACTTCTAGGCACGCCTAAAGGAACCCTCTATGGGAATAGTGAACCCCCATTTGATCTACGGCAGATAAATTAGTATAACTAGCATTAATATGGAATATGCTACTATACCGTAAGTCTGCGGAACACTGGCTCTATCAGTAAAGCGATTCTGTAAAATCAAATCTCACTTCTAATTTCAGGAGCTGCCGTTTTAGACATTAATTTGATATGCGTTACGCCATTACACGGTAAAATGTCGCTATGTCTGTAGAAGCAGCCAGTATTAGATTTGACATTTGTCAGAAATCCGAATAAATGAGATTCACACACATTTTTCGTAACGCGTAACGCGTTCGCCGGCTGACCCCCCCCCCCCCCCCCCCCCCACGTGTCAAATCAAGCGTGCGTAAAGAAGTTTCACTACAAAAACTGAAGCTAATTAACATATAGACAAACCGGTCGTACGCAATAAGTTTAACTTAATAACTGAAATTTGGCACAAAGCCATGAAGTTTATTATATGAGATGAATGATGAATGATATATTGAGAAATATATCATTTTATTTGATTTTAGATCCTGGAAAAATGCTAGGTTTCTGTGGAATTCTCAAAAAATCAAAGTTAACGCACGGGTAAGCTTATAAATTTATATTTCAATATAATTTATATGCCCAAAATATTCACGAGCTAATCTGAGTGTAAATTTACCTTCAAACGTTTTCATTACCTGAATCTTATAAACCAAATATAGACTAATTACACCGTCGTAAATTCAATATGCGTCTGCTCTGTAACCACACTAATTCAAGGTAGTAACACCTTAATCCCGATCTTAACAAAGTTATTTTTATCACGGGCTTAAAAATGCAAGACTGATTTAATCCTACTAATATTATAAATGTGTAAGTTTGTATGTTTGTTACTCAATCACGCTAGAACTATTGAACAGATTTAAATAAAATTTGGTGCGCATACAGTTTATGACCTGCAGTGCGATTCTGCAAAATAAAATCTTACTTCTGAATTCGATAGCTGTCTTTTTGACATTACTTTTATAGGCATTACCCCATACATGGCAAAATGTCACAATTACTGTTGAAGCAGCCAGTAATCTTAGATTAAAACAAAAAGGGTAGATACGTTACGTTCATACTAGCATCAAATAAAATAAAATAATATTCACGATAAACCGTGATTATTGAGAAAAAAATGTTTTCACAGTTTTACGAATGAAAAGTGTTGCCGTGCATTTGATTTTAAACTATTTGTGTTCTTTATAAAAGCATCGAAGGCATTGTTATATCTTCATAACACAGAATATACGCAATATTGTGATGTTGAGTGTACATGCAGCGTGTTTGAATGTCAAATTGTGACTAAAGCGAATTATGGGCGTGGACCACAATTTAAGCGGATCACTTTTGAGCCGCGAAGCCGTATCTTCCCTTTTTGTTTTAATCTAAGCCAGTAATAGATAATTGACAATCTGTTGAGAAATGAGATCGTAAGCGAGACTGTATCTTACGGAACCGACATGCAGAATTGAGACATAGATGATCCTTTTTGTCCAGGAAAAATGCTAAGGTAATGCCACCAATAACCGACAGCAAGTTATGATCTACGTTTTTTCCTGTGATCAATAAATAGAAGTTTTTTTTTAAAAGTGTGTATGCTGCTGGTCGCAGATAACCTTTACAGAGTCACCGGGTTTGGGGACGGCGAGATCCTAAGGGGACCTCAAGCCGAGAAATTGCGAATGTCTCTAGAGCAATGGTTCCCAACCAGTGGTCCGTGGACCACCAGTGGTCCGCAGAAGCCAAATTATAGTCCGCGAATGAATTTGAATTTAGCGGGCGCGTCAGCTAAAAATGTTATTATTTCTTTTTATTTAATTTCATATTAGATTTTTAATTAAAGTTTCCGTTTGATTATTACAGTTTATTTTTATTACACTAAAATTTAGTTATTTAGTGACTAAAAAGTGGTCCGTGCCAAAAAAAAAATATGTAAAAGTGGTCCCTGACCAATAAAACGTTGGGAACCCCTGCTCTAGAGGTATTCCAGCCGGATGGCATCTCGGAAGCCTCTAGAGCACTAGAACCTGAGGGGGTATCAATGAATAGAAGAGTAGGTGAGTATACCATATTCTAATTCGTAACGGTTGCAAGTGTGAAATGTCATTGTCATTTTTTGTGTACTGATTTTTAGTTCTCGTTACGTCCGTTAAGGCGCTATTGTTTAAGTTTCCATACAAAATTCGACAATGACATTTCGAACTCGCAAACTCTTCGAATTCGATATTGGTTCATGCTAAGGGTACTGATCACTATATACTTATGTTACTATGGGATTTATTTATTTTATTTATATATTTAATCTGTTTTGCCTTTATGCTGCAAATGGCGGGCTTAAGCCAATATGGCATTCCATACCAGTCAACCGGAAAGAACATACAGAGTTAAAAAACGGCAGAGACTCAAAGAAGAGAGATTAAAATCACAGAATGAGCTAATTTCGGGGAAACAGAGGATTCTCATTAAAACTAAAGTTAAGGCGGACGAAGTAGCGGGCTGTGGCTAGTATGATATACCTAATCACTATTCTTCACGCTTATCTTACGAAAATCACTGGCTTTTTAAACAGCACTCGCAAAGAAATTTATATTACATTGTTTATCTTATCGTAATGACTCTACGTTATCGTCATGTGTATTTACATACATATAGAAATTGCCGGCTATGCCTTACGAGTTTAGAGAGCATCAAAGGTGCGCAACACAAAATATTATCACATTTTGTTTCCATAAGAAAAACAGCCATTTGAATTT